ATTCGAGTCCGTGGGCGAATACATCCCCGTGATGTCGACGTCAAACTTCTCCGAGGCCATGGTGTTTTTTTCCGTGACACCGGATCTCAAACTAGGCAATGATCGGAGAGAGACATTGGAGCTGTAACCGCTGTCAACTCGGGACGCGGTCTGTTGAGTACTCTCAGATGAAGGGCTTGGGATGAAGCCACTGTCAGATCTTGTCAAGCCTTTAAGCATTTTGTTTTCGAGCTCCAAATGCATATTCTTTGGGCTAGGCTTTGCATTTGCATCTTCCCTTACGTCCAAAACCTCAGCAACGGGAAATGAGACAGCATTCCCGTTCTCAGACATTTCGCCATCGCCTGTTCTAGATTTGTCCGCATCGCTCGACTGCTCGGCAACAGAGCTTAGAACTTGAGTAGTAACTTGTTGTCTAGTTACCATAGGCTCATTGGCATCTGCCTTTTGCGACTCAGCATTCATCAGACTGAGAGGATTGCTGGCTTGCTCATCAAAGTACTCCCCGCGAGGAACCACTAGTTCCGTCTCAGAGGCCCCTTGTTCTTTGACGTCATCTTCAGGCACTGGAGAAGTCACCGGCGCTCCGTTTGTGATACGTAGGGATCCAAACTTCATGCCACCCAACTGTTTGTAGTCGGCCTCGACGGGCGTTGCAGCTCGGTCCGGAGATTGCACTTGTGACGGGATCGTTGTAGGCATCGACATGCGCCTTGCTATGCTAGACTCGATCGAATTGTGCCTGGACTGACTGGGTGTCGGGGGGAGACTCTTGCGGAAGCTTGACTTGGCTGAGACTGGGGGATTGGAATGATGAGCTCTGGTCGCTATACCTGGGGTTTTAACGACCGAGCGCCGGCGCATTGGCATGTAGAGAGAAACGTCTGAATTTGTTCTGCTGATGGACGAGCCAGCAGATTGATTGGTGTTACTAGTGTCATCTGTCACATCCTGGCCTTTCTCAGAATGGATGTTGTTTGATTTGGTAATGACAGGTTCGCTTGGGAGCTTCTGCTTGCCGTTGAAGAGCTTTTTGGCCTCGGCAGCTCTCGTATCGTAGCTGGTAGAGCCACGCCGGACAGCAACAGGCATACTATTTCGAGGCAGTCAGCTCTATTTATCGATACGAACAGACGAGTTGCACAAACCTTTCAACACGCGTCAATGTGCGGTAACCGCTATCCTGACCAATAGAATTGGTCCTGGACTTGGTGACGAAGCTTTGCAGTCCGGGGGACTGCTCTGACTGGATGGACCGCGTCCGGGGCATTGAATCGCGCCGGAAGTCTCTACAGGTAGGAGATGGCATAGGACTGGCATCACCACTAGCTGGGACGGCTATACCGAGCCCAGGCGCCACCCTCCTCGTGGAGGAATCCTTATTGGGAGCAGGCGGCAGCGACCCAACAAGATACGAGTTGGAGAAGTGCTCACGATGTGGTGTCACAGCAGTAGCAGTGTATGGCAGACCAGCTGCCGTTGTCTGGCTGCATAGAGGTGGCTTGGATAGTTTCCGATTCCCGCGAGGGGTTTCGGCGGATTGTTCATTGCCCATTGGGCCAAGCTGCTTAACTCCTGAGCTCGTAAGATGCTATCGGAAGCAGGACCTATATGAGAGAGGCTGAGTGCTCGGAAAGAAGCGTATGAGGCTCCCTCAACGAGCAAAAACGACCGTTCACTGGCACATAGACGCCTCCATGCCGTCCAACATGAACTATCTCGTGTTTTATTTGGGCGTGAGAAAGGATGCAGGAGACGAGAGGAGAGTGGATGGAGGGTAATTGATTCTCTAAAAGCTAAAAGAGAGAAACAAACGAGAGTAAGAGAGGGAAAGAGAGCATGAAGATATGAGAGATGAAGAGAGTAAAAGAGAGAGGAGGTTGGACGAGGTGGAGCCGAGTTTAAAGATCCATGACAATTTTGGCGGAGTTTAGAAATCGCATGAGGGGAACTCCCGGACAAGGAGAACCTGGTAGTGCTTTAGAGGTGAGAAGGTATGAGAGATCCATGCTGTGTGAGGGGTGAGACCAAACCAAACCAAGCAGGGGATGGATCATGGCGAGACGAGACGCGAGACGAGAGAGAAAGATTGGAACCTGGACGGACGCATCGACAAACCAGCCAAGAAATGGAGAAGCCACAGCCGAAGGGGACTAGGATCGAGCCTAGCGTTGACATGATAGACCACAGTAGCTGAAGACATATGAAGATGAGGAGAATTACTTGTCTTTGGCCCGGAACAGACGAACTCTGAGTTTCGCGCAAGCTTGGTCGACATCTGTTAACGAAACCATGATATGACGGGAGGAAGGGAAGTGGAGGGAGTGGGAGTGGAGGTTCGACTAGGCTACCTTAGGTAGGCTGGCCACTTAGAGGTAGGCTGTAGCACTACTAGGTTAGTAGGTAGGCCACTAGCCAAGGCACGTCGTCGATACTTCCGATCCTAAGACGATTGGATTGGATTGCACGTTTCGTCAACCGCCCAACAACCAATCGAAGGGTGGGATGGACAATTGACTTCGGAAAAATCTCCTCCATTCAGAGGCGCCAAGGTTTCAATGCATCTTAAAAAGATAACAACATCCATCTCACCATTCATGCATCGCCAATGCATGTGCATGAGCTATGAGCTATGAGCTATGAGCCATGAGGGGAGAGGGGAGAGGCTGACATGACCATAACCTAATTGACTAAGCATGACCCGAGGTCACCTTGCCTTGCTTGATTAGGTTTCTTCCACCTATGGATGGAAGCTCTTAACTTACAGCTTATGCTAAGCTAAGGAGCTTTACGAAAGCTTGGTTTTCTGAGACGCAACAGCCTCAGCCAAGATTAGGGCGTCTCCCAGCATGTGGTCCTCATAGCCAGGATGCTTCGGAATGGCAGGTAGATCCAACTCGATCAGGTCTTGGATTTACACATCATCATCATCTGCGAAATTATGCTGGTGTAAATCATCATCTTAGGCTTCCCACGGGTCCTTTTGGATTACAGCGCCAAATCCTGCCAACATAGCACAGGCCACTATAACGCAACACCGGTTTTTCTCATTACAGGCCAGGCCTTTGGCGGACACACCCCGGTCTCTCTCTCGGAAAGCCTCTTCGTTTTTGTCTTTGTCTTTGCCTTTGCCTTGAGAAATTGGTTGCTGCGTTGCGCTATCGGATCGGCCGCAAACAATTCCATTCCATGACGGCCGAGGCCACCCATCTCGCAGCTGACATGACGCTGTCCGACTATGGGCTGAGCTGCAGCGTTACAGACCCAGTGGCATCTTGACCTTGACTCTGCCTGTCACCTTGGACAAAGAAGAAAACGAGACGCAACGCGCAAGCCGTCCGAGCGCTTTCTGTCGATACGATGCAGATGCTGTATCATCGGAATCGGCATGCTGTAGACCGACCAAAGTGACATCTCTGGTCGATACGATATAATGCAATACCATACAATGGATACGATACGATATGGCTGCATCATGATTTCTTCATGCCGTCATCTTCTCACGTTGAATAACAATAGCAGCTCCACCAACGCACCTACCACCAGTACCAGAGCGTTTCAGATGGACCCAACGTACGACGACCACGAGAGACGAGAGCTCCAGACTCGAGCCAGCCGAGCCAAGCCAAGCCAGAACCAACACCGCCCGCTCGCTTGCCTGCTTACCAACTTACCTAATTCATCTACTCTCGCAGGATATCAATGCCTTCAGAGGCTTTACGATACTTCCTTCAAAACCTGCCCACGGTTGCAATCATTGAACTTTGATTTGTTTATCAACGCGTAGAGCCACGCGCTCGCCGTGTCCGACTGGCTCATGTACTCACCCATGTACTAAGCAATTCGGCATAGCCTCTGAGCCTACCCAGCACCACCTCTCGCACATATGCATTTCGTTGGGCGCACTAGTCAGTTTACATATTATCAGACAGCCTCGTACTTCTGCCAAGATCAGAGACAAACTTCAAAGCCGACACATATCGCATATTACCACCGAAAATATCAATATGCATTACGCAGCCTCACCCCCCCCCCCCTCACGGCTTACCGCGTGAGAGTGAGATCTAATCATACAACGATGCTGATCATCGTCAAGCATACAGAGACAGTTGTCCACTATTGAAGGTAAATCATAACATTACCCAATTCGCCTTTTTCTATCGCGGCAGTTCGTCTCATCAGGACTAGCTTCCTCATAAGGGCAATTACCCAACCTCTTGACATTTCGATACTCCGACTCCGGATGACGTTACACGAAATGAGACGCTCGACCGAGTGTGGGGAAAATGTCATGGTCAAGGTTCCATCTGTCGGACAAGTCGAGCGGAGAATGGGGTCTCATTAGGACATGGGTTCAGTCGTTATCGAAGATGGACAAGCGAGCTTCATCGTTCATGGGCTTTTGCCTGTCGGAGCAATAAGTCCACCAACGCTACATTCGTGGCCTTTCTTTCCCGTTGCCGTTCTGAACAACAAGCGGTCATTAATCATCACTCAATGCGTCAATGGATAATACCACATCAAGACAAAGTCAAGTCAAACATCAACGTCGTATCATAGTGCAGGACGGCACAGGATACGCATATGGGAATCCGCAAAGTCGCACCATCGAATTCTCCGTGATCGACATGCAAGAGTCCCTACAGATCACTTAGCGTATGCCATTGGCCGCCGTTTACGGATATATTCAATCCCCACCGCGCGATCTTCATCGCGACAAACTCTCGACCCTTCTCACATGGAAAACCCATTGCGCGGCCAAATTCCCCGCAATCAATTCATCCTCACATCATCCGGCAACAGCAGAGGTTGACCAAGTGCCAACACGATTCCGGTCAATCTTTTGCCGTCTCTTATTATCGACAAGGTCGATTCATAATCACTGCCCTGCATCAGGTCAACTCTGGTACCATGACTCCTCCTCGGTTGCAACTCTGCCGAGGGGTCTACTACACCATGCGCCGATATGCCGCACTTTGCTACCGCAACCCAACAAATTCGGGCGAATGGTTTAGTGGTATAATACTCCCTTAGCAAGGTCCTCTTAAGGTCCTCCTCCTGGGAGTGGTCCAGGGTTCGATTCCCTGTTCGTCCAAGTCAAGGTGGTTAGAATCCACTATTATCCACAGTTTCTTTTTGGCTGTTTCGAAGAATGCGGTTATGAGGAGAGATGCGCGGCAGCCAAACGAGAGTGGTCTCTCTTGTAACTAAATCTTTCTTACCCTATACCCCTGAATTCACTTTTTGACAGCACCAGCTATTTCCTTCTGTCTGTAAGATATGCTTGCCTACTAGTCTGTAGGTACGTCTGAATTTATATAGAAAAGTGAACTGATAACTCGTTGTGAATGCACTGTTGTAAGATTATCTATTCGCCAATCACCATTGTACACCCACTTCCGCCAACCTGAACCTCATGCACTCTTCCGGCATCAACATCGATACGTGATCCAGCGCTGTAGACCTGCTTCTGACTATCCTCCTCATTCGGATACCACAATGTCAATGAGCCCTCGGTGATCAGGTGGGTCGTGAGCTTGTCATGCTTGTGCGGTGGGTAGTGGGTGTTTCTGCAGACCATGTGTTAGAAGAATGGGTCTTTACGAGGCTGTGCCAGAGCCGCATCTCAAATGTGGAGAGGACTTTTGCGATAGCAGAAGAGACGGGACGGATGACTTACGGAGAGTCACTCCAGGTAAAGACGCGCTGGAAACCCCATGCCTTGACCTGTTCTTCATACTCGTTGATGAAGCTCATGATGACGCTAGGTTGGTTCTTGTTGAGTTCATGTCAGGTCAGTGGAGGACAACATTTGATATCAAATAAAGCACTACTCACTCTTACTTGCAAGAATAATACTGTTTGTGTTTTGAAGGGAGGAAAGGACTCTTCAGTCAGACTTGTACTGGTAATGCCTGAAGTATTGATGTATTTGATGTTGAATGCAATAGTGACGCCGACATTGGTTGTAACCAAGCTACGCCTATGACCTCACATCCCATCTCGTCCCAAGGCCTCGGCCGACTGCGCCCCACTCGGCCCCACCTCGCTCCGGCTCGTACTCGACTAGGGCGAAGCGGCCCGGGGCCGGAGCCGTGGGTCTGGGCGTTTGATTGACTTGAACATGGATTTAATGCTTTGTTATTAATGACTGACAGCTTCGCATAAAGAAAATGCTCTGATCCTAACATAACAACGCATCAAATGCAGAAAAGCACAGCACAGCACAGTGTTGTACAGCACAGCCTCCATTCCACCAGACCGCCGCGCTCGTTTCTAAGCAGTCATCAATGATCAACAGGGAGGCAACTATCATCGCCATGATGCTGCTGTATTGCTGCTGCTCCATCAGCCTGCTTTTCCCAGCAGAGATCAAGCACACCTCCAATCACCGCTTCGCCCCCAAGCCTCCATGGTTCCATCAATTCTTTTTCAGCCCTGGGTCTCTCTTCATCCAGCCGTCGGGTGCCCCCCGTCAGAACCCTCCCCTAGGGCTGTGCTGCAGGGCGCTAGTGTGACCTGGACCAGCCGCTGTACTGGGGGAGACGGCCCAGTTTATCGCCTATCAAACAGACGTGCTGACATCCATTTTGTCCCTTTTCTTCCAAGTTCCCTTCAACTCCGTCTTACTTGGTCACTGTCAACAACAAGACCATTGATCTCGAGACTTGTTCCAATTATTGTTGACTACTGATTTTATATCGCAAAAGTTCGAATTAATCATTCCTTCATGTCTGGTTGACGAGAGCGGCAGCCGTTTCGCTCCAATGGTCCCCGCCGTCTAATCTTTGCGCCCCGACATCGCCAGCTCTCAAGTTCCAACCTATTCCTAGGAACTCCAGCTAGTCGCCATGCCGCTCTTCTGTGGGCTCTTCGTACGTGATAATAATACTGGGCTTATCTCTTGCAACCGCTGACGTTGGTATCCTACAGCGGCGCAGCAGCGCAAAGGGCGAGAAACCCAGGCGCGCGCGAACAATGTCCATCTTCGCCAACACCAACATCCATTCTATTGGTGCCCTCAAGAACATGGTCCGCTTCACCACTGCGGCATCTCCAGCGGCCATGCATGGCTGGGAGCAGCCTGCGACACAAAAACCTCCACCGAACGACGAATGCTCTAGTCGGAGCTCAGCCCAGCAAGCATCCGCCCTCGACTTGCCCGACTTTCACATCACCACCGACATGCACGAGGCCCTCGAACGTACATACGACGACTTGCGAGGTTCTGATACCCGACTATCCAAGGCCAAATTTGCCGAATTCTTGCGAACCGTCCAGGGCGAAAGTGAGAGCGCCGTCAGCGGCCTGGACAGGGAGGATTACTCCATCGGCGAGTTCAAATTTACTTGGGTCAACGATTTTTTATGGGATGCTACAGGAACTTTGCCTGAGAAGGATCTCTCTAAGCCCCTCACAAACTATTTTATCAACAGCAGCCATAACACCTATTTGGTTGGTAACCAGCTCGCTTCCTGGACCAGAAGCTCGCCCGAAGCGTATAAAACTGTATGTCGAGTCATTTGAACCCTATCGAAGACGTCGAAATGTCATTGTACTGACCTGAATCCCTCAATAGGTTTTGCTTCGAGGATGTCGCTGTATTGAAATCGACGTATGGAATGGGGATGCTGTCATCCCTACTACCCGCGACAAGTCCCCCAAGAGCGACCACAAGCGCGGGCTGTCAGGCGAATCGTTCCCAAACGTTGCTACGACGGTGATTGAGAAAGTTGAGGGCTATCTTAGCGACAAGACTCACAATCGTCCTCGCAGCACCAGCCTTGGAAGTCGAAAGGATACCGATTCCTCTCCAAGATCGAGTGACAATCAGGTTCCGCTCGAAACGCGATCGTCTGGCGATCGTCTTGATGTTGCGCAGCCTCTTTCGCCGCGTCCACGACAGACGTTTCCTAAGAATGAGCCTATCGTGACTCATGGATGGACTTTAACTGCACCGTGCGGCTTTCGAGAGGTGTGCAAAGCCGTTGCTGAGTCCGCTTTTGTTGAGAATGATCTACCCATTATTGTCAGCTTGGAAGTGCACGCCGATGAGGACCAACAAGAGGTCATGGTGAAGATCATGAAGGAGGAATGGGGCGAGATGCTTGTGGATAAGCCATTCGATGACTGTGGCCCTAGATTGCAACTCCCCAAGCTGGGTGAGTTGCGGAGGAGAATTCTCATCAAGGTCAAGAGAGCTCCCGCAAAGATCGTGGTACCGCCCAGCACTATGGCTTTGCCTGCCATCTATGCAAACGACGAGGATGCATCTGGTTCAGAGGATGAGCGTCCATCACAGGCCGGAGGGGTGTCTCTGTCGAGTGCAAACAGCACGTTTCCCTCACAGTCAAAGAGTTCCAATTCCAAGGTCAACATATGTGAAAACCTAGGTAAACTGGCCATCTACACACGCAGTCAGCACTACAAGGGCCTCGCAACCAAGGAAGCCAAGATTCCTGCTCATATCTTTTCTATCAGCGAGAATCGCATCCTTGAGCTTCACCAGAAGCAACATCGCGACATGTTTACCCATAACAAGGGATACTTTATGCGCGCTTTTCCTGCTGGCAGAAGGTTTGATAGCTCGAACCCAGACCCAAGTCTCTTCTGGCGTGGTGGTGTCCAGATGGTTGCTATGAACTGGCAGTATCTGGACGAGGGTATGATGCTCAACGAGGGCATGTTCGCCGATGAGAAAGGTTGGGTCTTGAAACCAGAGGGCTACCAAAGCTCCAACAAGTCCGCAGAGACCCAGAGCGAAGCCACTCCTGGTCGTACCATGAACCTGAAGATCACCGTTTTCGCTGGCCAGCACATTCCTATCAAAGCTGGCGACACAGCTGATAGTGGCCGTTCTGCCAGCGACCTTCGTCCGTTGATCAAGGCGGAACTGCATGTTGACAAACCAGTCGATGTTGAACGTGACGGACATGTGCAGGAACACAAGTACAAAGACAAGACGGACGTCGGCAAGACGGACCATCCCGATTTCGGCCCCAATGGCTCGCTCCTCCAGTTTCTTAACATTCCCAAGGTGGTCGAGGAGCTCAGTTTCATCAGGTAAGCAGCCAACGGTTTCTCTCTGTCACGTATCCGTATTGTATCCTTCCACGCCCTGCTCTCAGACCGTCTCCTTTGTCTTGCCAACCGCAGCTGTGCCGTAGAAGCACTGCATTCGGTCTTACATGGTTGGAAGCTTGCATCACGGCGGTGAGCTACATTGCAGCAATTTCCGGCCTGCTGCATTCTTGAACATCATATAGGAGTAACTGCTGTTCGAGACACAACGTGCCAGAGGACACAGACCTCCTAATTGCTTTGAGCAAGGAGTAAATCACGAACCCCAAAATGGTTAATTGTCTTTGGGTGGCGAGTCATCATTCGTCGTCCGCTTGCATTGCCACTGTCGTGTCTTGTACATTGGAGGTGGTGACTAGCGTCGATCGCCTCCTCGTCCCTGAGGTCTGCTATTTTGGCGGGGCGGGACGAAATGCTTGTTGGTTTATGATGATTTTGCTCGCATCACGCTAATGCGATCTATCCTCTAGGTTCAAGATTGAGGACGATTCACCCAAACTTGGTAGTTCCCCGCTACTTGCCTGGGCTTGCATCCGTCTAGACCGCCTCCGTCCAGGCTATCGATTTATCCGACTGATGGACTCCAAGCCCCGCGCTATACCAGGCGGGAAGCTTTTGGTCAAGATCGAGAAGACCCTTGTTTGATTGATGGCATAAATTGTACTTGGTGCAAGACGTTATGCTTCATAATTGAACCATGCTCGTATGACGGGACAAGTCACTGGCGCTCTCGCATCCTGGCCATATCGCATGGCACAACATCGTCCACAACCTATTGGGTTACTGCCGATCTTGCTATTTAGCAACATGATTTCGACTTCGTCATCCTTCAGGTCAATCTCGATGGGGATGCTTAAAAAGTTCTCGATAAGTTTCAAGGTCAAGGCATCTTGGCGTTAGGTCGTTCCTATTGTGAGATTTTCTATCGTGTGGCAGTGATGGATTTTGTACTCATTTCCTTTTTTCCAGGTCTTACTCATGAGTGGTAAGATATGCTTAGGACAAATTAGACAG